TGCAAATCGCTTATTAAATTTTAATTTATATCTTTACATTTGATTTAATTAATTTAATTTTTAACTATTTTAACAATAATTAATTAATTTGGTAATAATTAACTATTTAATTTTTTAAATTATTAATGATTTTAATAGTCATATTAATTATTTATTTATTTATGTTCCTCTTTGCTGGTCTTCCATAGGGCTCCGGTACTTCTAATTTTATAAAATAAGCACTGACCATCTGATAGTTGATAGTTACAACCCTAACAATATCTTTAAGAATTGAATAATTCTACCTTTTTTTTTCCCATTTACTCGAGGGAAAATTGCCATCTCTTATGAGACACAGATCGTTAACTAGAATTTAGTTAGCAACATCCAATTGGCCTGTTGTGAGCACAAATTTTTTTGCCAGCGTTTCCAAAACTGTTGAACCATTTTTTGGATATGTTGGTATATAGTAAGGTTGGAAATATTAGAATCAAAGTAATTTGGCTTATGAATACTTGTCAGTGGTCTACCAATAACGAAATGACCAGACGTAATAACCAGAGGGGCGTCCAGTTAACCTTATGCGCATGCGCGAAATAGCTGTCGAGCAGGTGACGAAGATCGAAGGTAACGTTTATCGAGTTCAAACTTCTGACACCATTTTTTCCCACCCGATTGACACAAATTAAATCACTGATCAAACTGCGACATGGATCAATCATGAGTAAGTGAAAGTAAAACTTCATCGAAATGCTTCCAAGTAAGCTTCAATCCGAACTCAAATTATCGCGAAAGCTGTATCAAAGAACGAATCCTATTAGTTCTTTTGTTTCATATTATATTTTCGTCAACTCCCTATCCACTTGGCGGTCTGGTAACGAGAATTTGTCCCTCATCGGTATAGCGGAACAGTATGAAAAATTTTTTCAATCGAATGGCGGGCATTTGTCTTATCACCATTGGCCACTCCTACGGCCAGAAGTGGTGGCCATTTTATTGTGGAGGCACCTAATACGCGGCCACCATTACCTCCTATGTGGGGACAGACCATGCATGCCTTCTCCGGGATTCGAACCAGGGCCAGTCGGTAACGCATTCGGCTCCCTAACCATCCGTCTGTGGGGGACACCGTAGTGAAACTGGTTTACATTACATCAATGGAACCTTTCTTTGTTTACATAAAGGTTCTTTGCCTAAGGTAGCCAAACTGAAAACAGAGTAGACAGTGAATATAGCCAATGGCCATTTCCAACAGTAATCGCCCAGCACCCCTCCCTCAGATCTATTGAGATGTGTAGGTATTCAGGAAGAAGAGGAAATGTTTGCTAGGGTAGTTGAAACATACTTAGTGAAGAAAATATTTTTTTCCAATGCAGATGTTGTAGAGTGGGAACAATAAAACTGTTTTCACTTTATACAAAGCATCGTTACTTTAGCCACATAAATAAAGTTTGCTACAGCTAAAATAGCTGGAAAGCATTCTTACAGCATTTTGCAATTACTGTTAAATTTATAAAACTCTTAACACATTTCCCATTAGAAATTAAGGAAACACTATTAGGTAAGAGGAAAGCATAGAATAGTTTCTTTCTCTATCACTGCAACACTACTCTCGTTCATGGAGCTGCCTCTCTGGTGGCAAGGACTTTCTTGCTTTTCACGTCACGAATAGTGCAAGGTAAAAAACTATCAAATGCGGTTAGACTTGAGTATTACTAAGGTTTCAGATGCAAAATACAGTCTTTTTTTTTTTCAGTTTTTAAAAATTAAGAATTAAACTAATCCCAAATCAGTTCCAAGGGATTGAGCGTATTATAAATAATAATAAAATTATTTCACTGCATTTTATGCATAAATAGTTTCAGATACCAAGCGAAATTCCTTTTACTCATGCATGTAATTAGAAGTAAAAATACAAAAGAAAAAAAAAGAGGGGGTTCGTATAGAATGTCTAAATTCTACATTTTTAATTTGGGATTCGAAAGCAAAAATGTGCGTGTTTTGGGTAGGTTGTCATTGTACTCAAAACTGCGAATTAAACCATCAGCGTGCGTCAGTGATAGTGACTGGATAAATGGATTTGGATTATTTAATTATGGCAAAGCACACGAGGGCTATCTGCCTAAAGGGAGGGATGCCTTCGTGGAGGACTTTCTAAGGGAAGCTGGCTCGTATACACGTTACACATGGGGAAAACCACGAAAACGCCCATGCAGCCAGCCCGTTCGCGGGATCCGAACCTCGGACCGAACTACCAGTTTTCAGCGTCTTTACCGCTCGGCCGCTGGTGGGCCTGACTGGATAAATGAAATTGCAATTGTTTTTGTAGATGGTTAGTTAACTTTACAAAACAAAGCACGCGAGGGCTCTTTTCTTAATGGAAGAATGACTTTGATGAGGGTCTTTTAAGAGAAAAAGAATCGCATATACAAGGGGAAAAACACCATAACTCGAACAGTCATCATTTATTTCACTGAGATTTGAACCCAAGTTGAACTACTTGCATTCGGTGCTTTTATTCGCTCGGCCAATGGCGAGATATTTTCTAGGATTAGAAATGCATTGCACGTAGATTCATGATAATTAAGATATATATGGGGGGGGGACGGTTGACTTAAAATAAGTACAGAAAATGAAAAGATAGACTAATAATTTTCAAATCTCTTAATTATATAAAAAATATACAGGAAGAATACATGGAAATATTTTTTATGGAAGTTAGAAACTTTTAAATTTCAGCAGGGCAAATTTATAAGCACAAAAGTTTCTATTAAAGAAATTAATTTTAAATACACATATACGTATAACTTGTACTGCAGTTCTTCCTTATTTTTTACAAATAGCAAGGTGTTAGTCGAGATTTCTAATCCCCCTAATCAGAACCTAATTAAATCCGGAGAAGTGCTATGACATAATAGGATACCGGAAGTCCCTTTTATTAACACTCCATCCCTCCTCCTGTAATGAAATTCAAAATTTTTTAAACAAACTTTCCTTTGCTGTCATTTTGCCAAATTGTTTAATAACATTCTCAAAATATGTTTACATTCAAGTTCTAGCTTTTTCATATAAATTACCATTAAATAATAAATTTTCAATAAAGTTTTGTGCTATAACTGGCATCTGTATTTTATACTGTTTCAATTAAATTTTTACGCAATGAACAAGAAAAAAGATTTTTCAAAAGAAATTTTAATTAATCTTTTTTCATCAATAAAAGTTTGAAATTTTCTTTTCCTCCCACCCTGTTTGAGCAATGAGTCGGCCACATGCGCAAGCAGTTTAAGAAGTCTGGTGGACGAGTGTTAATTTTCACATGCCTGAAATGACAAATATTTTTCATCGCTACATAATAGTTCTAGAGTAAGCTGGGTTTCAATAGCTCTATGATTTTTACATTTCAAAAAAATAGATTTATTTTCAAAAGATATTAGCTTGCATATAAAAATGCAGTTATAAATAATAATAGTGATAGTGATACTAGAGAAGTTCTCCCTCATTCTATTCTATTTTCAGCAAATTTTCTTAAGGACGGAGGTGTTTTATATGTATATGCGTGTGTGTTTTAAGATAAAAAAATAAGTAAATCAAAATACTAACTTTAATTTGCAATATTCTCTTACCGCTTCATTTAAATTTGGCTATTTCCCTTATCCGCCATAAAAGTAGAAACTTATTTCTCTTTTTATCTTTCTAATTTATTTTATCTTTCTAAATTCCATCATTTCAAAATTAATCCATGTCATGGTTCTTAAACAATTACGCTAATGACATATTTCAGAAAGATTTATAGTAATAAAATTGCTATTTTTAGGGCAGAAAGGGGGCGGGCAGACAAATTAAAACGGAGAGTTGAGGGACTGTTACAAACTGAATTTAATATTTTGGTGTACATATTTTTATCTTCCACACAAGGGACGTCTTTCTGCACTATATACATTTTCTTTAGATTTTTGTTAACCATATTTTATTTGTTCACAAACGATGATACTGGATTACGGGATTTTTTTTTTGCGATATGGGGAAAGGGGTCTTAAAATGCTATCTAGTCGAAAGTCTTCTGGAGTCGATGGTGTGGTATCCGTCCGATCCGTCGGCCCAGAGATTTTCCTTCAAAACTGGGACGGAGCTGTGCATATTCTTACTACTACTTATAATTTGCTGAAAACCTATGACAACGACAGTCGCACGCTTGGCAGAGCAGTCGATAATAAATTCATGTACTTATCTGATGTTACTATCAGACGAGTAAGATAAGTAATCTGAGCAAAATATATACGTGCGATGTCAGTCAAATGATTTCGTACGATTTTCCGTACTAAATGCGCAACGACTGAACGGAAACATGTTAAAAAATACTTAAATTTACAATATAATGATGATGATAATCCAATGAATGCCAATCAAAGCTCATTAAGCGAAATAAGCACGTGTTTAGGGCATCGAGGAAAGAGGGCACTGCAAAAAGGTACTTAGGGTCTCAGGAAAGGAAGTGCCACAAAAATTTCTCATTGCCAGTTTTTATCATGGAATGTATGGTGCGGCTAACCGATAGAAAAGGAACGAGGAAAAAATTCTGGAGTAAATGTATGTGGAGGCACCAAAATCTCTTAAGTGTTTAGAGCCTATAAAAGTCTTAATCCGGCCCTGATGACGATGATGTGATAGTAATCGGTAAAACATACATGGGAAGACCAAATTTCAGATAAGTTACTGTATCATATAAAGCGTTCTTGCTGTAAAATGAAATGTAGCTTAATTTTTAATCAAAAAGCATGTTTAATAAATCCAGCCTTTATATATATATATGTATATATATATATATATATATGCATGCTTTAAAGTGAATAATATTAATTTGCTATTTTTTTCCTTCTTCTCTTTATATTTTATTTAAAAATTTTATTTTAAATTCCTGAATTAATTTTTCTCATCAATATCATTTGAATTAGATTATTTCATTTTTTTATTATATTCAATTTCTAACTGTTAGTATAAGATCTTCGGAGCTTTTGATATGAATAATTAAGAACTGAGAGTATATACTAAATAAATTGCCCTTAATTCTAATAGTTCACAGCAAAATGGCAAAAAGGTTAAAAAAGAAAATTGTTGACTGAAACTTTTTTTACCCTGAATTACGAATCTAATTACTAGCATTCAGATGGTTGGAAGGAATGATCCTAGTCCATTCCTATATAATGCAAATAGTCATATAACGATAATAAATATATAAAATAATTATACAACAATATTACAAATTTGATATTCATTCACCGGTAGATGGCAGCGCATGAAATGGGCGGCTTCAGAAGCTGCGCGGTAAGTGGGGATGGGACGTGTTCACTCAATCTTTCAATAGATCTCAGTGAATGTCGGTGTTATTCGTTTTTAAGAATGTTTTCACGTGTTGGATTATTAGTTTATTAAATAGCTGTGTGTCCAACAAAAAGAACATCTTTGCTTAGCCGAATCAAGGATAGCTGTTATTGTCTCCAAGGGCAACAGAAATTTTCCTGGCCCGAGCTTTCCGCATTCGTCTAGTCTTCCGCCATGTTTTACCACTTGAAATATTACCAGTTGGCGTAAATTACAAAAAATAAATAAAATTTAAAAGGTGCCGAGCATCTGGATCTTGCGATCTATTGATAGCAGTTATATACAGATCGAAATAAGAAATAAAGTGTTTTTGTACTGCCATTGTACATCGGACATAACATCATACTGATGTTCTGAAAAGTTACTAAACTTGTACAAGCAAGCAAAACATGGCGATGATAACTATTTTGCATTTGATTCAGATGGTGACTATGCATTGGATCTTTGATTGCGGCTGCTTTAGTGCTATTACAAAGAAAATAGATTAGCATTATCAGGTAAGTGTTTTTATTAAATTTAATTAGTTTTACAATCCCGTCATCCATTGAATATATTATATTAAGTGACTGTTTGCATGTGTGTTAAAATCACGAAATATTTTATTTTAATTTTTCTAAAATTGGTTGAATATTTTAATTGTTTTGCCTGAGAAAAGTTCTTATCACCGAATGGATTGTGTACAGATGCAACCAGCTGAAAAAATAATTTTTAAATTTGTTCTAGTCTGATACGCCAAAATATTTTGGTTACGGCATATTTCTTTTCTTTATCAATAATACTTTCAATTTAAATAAGTTCTTTCTTCTTGTGGGAATGCATACTTTCTTTTTATCGCGTTCAGCCTTATTTTATTTACAAATTTAAATATAATTTAGCATTTTTCTTACTTTTGCTAATGTATCACCGAAAGAAAACTTGGTTAATCTGTTAAACTAGAATATTTTATACATATCTTATATAAAGTTGATGCTGGTTTTAACGTGAGGACACTTGGACCCGTGTCGTCTTAAGGAAAAAGGACGTTATAACGAGTAGTCGCTATAACGGAACAGACGCTATCATGAGGGTTCGTGACAACAAATTTTAACTTTATTTCCTAAATTATGACGTAATTTAATTGGGTCATTTATCTTAAGTTATTTAAGTTACATTAATTGTTAATTTAAAGTTTCTTTAGATTGCTTAATAAACAGCAAAAACACTACTATTTTATTTTTTGTATATTAAAGAAAAGCATCAAAAAGTGTCAGACATGTGTAAGTTCTTTTAAAATTCATTCAATAATTTTTAACATTAATTGAAATATCATTTTACTGTGTTTAACTACGTAAAACTATATTTCACAGATAAATTCCAGTACAATTGTTTGTAGGAAGACTAAATGTAGAAACTAAAATGATTAATCTATACAAAAGTTTAGAATTTCTATTTTAAACAAAATAATTCATGATGATGCATTTCATAAATTAAAACGGAAGAGTTTAAAGGTAAGTTTCTGGAAATTATTATCGCTGAAATAGATTCTACGCCTATCTGGCTTTATCATTTGCCTGCCAGTTGTCCAAGTTTGACACATTGGTAAAAAAGTGCGTGAGTTGGGTATTTTATAAAGTGATTCGGTATTTATCGCTTACCATCGGCCGAGCGGTAAAAGTCGCTGAACATTGGTAATTTGACTTGGGTTCGATTCCAAGCGAACGGACTAGAATATTCCTAACTAGAATTATTCCTAACTAGGACTAGAATAATTTCCATGCATAATGGGCCCACCAGCGGCCGAGCGGTAACGTCGCTGAACACTGGTAGTTCGGTCCGAGGTTCGAATCCCGCGAACGGGCTGGCTGCATGGGTGTTTTCGTGGTTTTCCCATGTGTATACGAGCCAGTTTCACTTAAAAAGTCCTCCACGAAGGCATCCCTCCCTTAAGGCAGATAGCCCTCGAGTGCTTTGCCGTAATCTAATAAACCAAACCAAACCATGCATAATGTGGATACGAGCCAGTTTCCCTTAGGAAGTCCTCCACGAAGGCATCTCTTCGCTTACGCATATAGCCCTTGCGTCCGTTGCTGTAATCAAGTAAGCCAAACCATTATCACCGTCGTTAAAATGACTGGACATTAATAGTTCGATCGGGGTTCAAACACCGGTGAACAAACTGGCTGAATGGGAATTTTGATGGTTTTCCCCGTGTATTACTTGAATATGTCACCCTAGAAAGCTCTCCACGAAGACAGGCATCCTTTTAGGCAGATTGCTGTCATTTGCTTTGCCATACTGAAATAACGTAACGCAGATGATTCAGTATTTATATAACAAGGAAGGTCTTCCAAACTTGAATTCTCAATTTTTTTTTTCCCTCAAATAAGTATTTTATATTAATCTGCTCACTTAGAAATATATAATAATTAAAAAAATTAGCTGCTAATTTTCTATAGCTACTTTCCCTCAAATGTTAAATATAGAATTTTTGGTCGGCAGCGACGAGCTTTCTGAAAAATTCAGTCGCCAATAGCGAACTTTCTGACGAAATAATATTAAAATTTCGTAAAATTCTCGAAATAACGCTGCATCGTCAAATATAGTTAAATTTGTATGTTTTCAATAACCTTTTCGCATAATTTAGAATTAAAAAAAAATCTTTTTATATTTCTAAATGAACTAATACACTTGCAGTTTTTTTGCGCGCCTCATTTTATCCGATAAATTAAATTTTACGGAAAACGCTGCCTTAGTTTTGCAAGGAAACTGCAATCGGCGCTTACTAGAACTTATTGTTCGGAGAGGATATAATTGATTCTAGAAACTCAGAAAGCTGTGAAGCTAAAATTAACTGCTAAATTCCTATAGATGAAACAAAAAAGAAATAAAGTTTTTAAACCTTAGGACAAGAAAATACACAAAGTTTGTTGCCTTGCAGAAAGTGGCAGTTACTTTGAAATAAATTATATTCAAAATATTTACGCTGGTGACAAATTTATAGCATTTTTATGTTAAATATAGAATAGGGTTTGGTTTATTTCATTGCGATAAAGCACTCGACTATCTGCCTAAGGGAAAGGAGGATTTTTCTAAGTGGAACTAGCTCGCATACACAAGAGGAAAAGCACGAAGGCGCCCATGCAGCCAGTCCGTTCACCGGGATTCGAACCCTGAATCTAACTACTGATGATCACGACTTTACCGCTCAGCCACTGGTACGCTTTTATTATTATAAGAAAAAGTGTCAAAAGCGAGGTGATGGCAGAAAATGTTTAAGAGAATACGGGGAATGAAAAAGTACCAAAATTCCGATGCAGCCGGTCCGTTCGCCGTGATTTAAATTCCCGGCGAACTGCTTGTGTTCAGCAGTTTTAGCTCTCGGTAGCTGGGGAGGAGTGCTTGCATTTCTGGAACTTGTAATCTGGTTCATCTCGCTAACTGCAGCGTGTACTGTTTGTAGTGTGTCAAAACGACTGTGACCCCCCTCCACACACACAGTAAAAGGATTTTTGCAATTTCTTTCTCTTTGACCTAATTTTTCAAAAATGAAATTTGCATCACCTCTGTTGAAGCTTGCATTTTAAGTATCACGTATTAAGAATAAAAAATGTGTATTTTACGATTTTTATCTTTCTATTTATTGTTTTAAACTTCCGTTGCGTGAATCGATTATCTTGGCAACCATCGAAATTTTTTTTAAAAATTAAGTTTTATACATTTTATAAGTTGCCAAATAACGCTGTATTGCCAATTCTGGTAAAATCCTAGTATACGGTGCAACCTTGGCGCGATTTTTAAAATTATCGCCAACACCAAAATGACCCGTTTACTACTCACCGTATATGTCGCGTTTACTGCTCATTATAAAGTAGCCAAATCCCGTGTGCACCGTAAACCAGGATTAAACCCCAATTCTCATTATTTTTTACGCGATCGCTTTATAAGGTTCCCGCACCGTTATGCAGAGGCAACTATTTTAAACGACAGAAACCCTTATAATGCTGCGCACTCTTATGAAGATCAGTTAACTCTTTTTAACTTGGAGGGAAAGGTTAGGTTAGGTTATTTAATTACGGCAAAGCCTCCAGTGTTATCTGGCTAAAGGCCCATTTACACTAGCGGAACTTTGAGCCTAAGAAACGCAGGCGAATTTGAAGACTCGTTTGAGACTTTAAACATCAATTTTTTCTATTAGAGGGATATTTCCTCTTAAACTCTCGAATAATGTTATAAATTTAGGCTGTTTATTTAAATGGTACATATTCATTTCAGTTAAAAAAAAAAAAAAAAAAATACATTCGCCATTAGTGAAGCTAGCTCCCGTGCATTTCTTAGGCTCAAAGTTCCGCTAGTGTAAATGGGCCTTAAGGGGAGGGAGGACTTTCTAAGGGAAACTGGTTCGTATACACGTTACACATGGGGAAAACCACGAAAACACCTATGCAGCCAACCCGTTCGCGGGATTCGAACCTCGGACCGAACTACCAGTGTTCAGCGACTTTACCGCTCGGCCGCTTGAAGGGAGAGAAAAACTTTCATATGGCTGTGGGCAATTTTATGTTACAGCGACCTTATGAAGTTTTCTAAATTATTTAAACTATTACTACCGCTTGGTTTTGGTGTCTTTTTAGTTGGTGGAAGATCAGCCGAAAGAGAAAATAGTGGTACTTTGACCAGAAAATTCTTTACCCCATACAGATGGGTAAAAGAAGCAGGTTGCAGGTAAATAAAGGCTCCCTATTTAGGCAAGACCTCGCAAATTTGCCCGTCTATTCGGAAGTCAACTTTTTCTCAAGGCCGATGTCTTTAATTGGCGTATATTTGCCGAGAGTTTGCCAAATTTAGCATATTAACAGCACTAACTTCTATGCAGCAAACTATTTACTTTTTCTCCGTTTGATCATATTTTAAACGAAATTCTAATACCCATGGTACTTACGGAAAATCCCGTCGACCATTTTTGCCTATTAAAGAAAAGACGCCAAACTATGCGATTTTTCGCCAAAAGTGGAAAAGTCCTCTTCAAACACGGTAGGTTTGGTGTAACCTTGATTGCACGTGCTAGTTACTATTCTTAAGTAAAGACTCGTTTTTTTTTTTTTTTTCCTCTCTGTGTCACTCATTTTTGGAGGGGGGAAAATGATTAAAATTTGGGACCTGCCTACTACAGAAGGGCATGCTGTTGAATAGGTCCAAAGTTATAGATTCTTCCTGGCGATTAAATTAAAACCTAGCGAAAATAATTGCTTTTACAGTATATCTGCTTAATTAAAAATAATGGAAATTTTTAATCAAAAATTAAATTAAATATAATATAATAATGATAGGGTAATAAATTTGAAAGAAAAATAAGAATAGAACGTTTTTTTTTCTTGTTATTTAGTAAGCGTTTTTTTTTTTTTTTGTTTTGTTTTGTTTTGTTTTGTTTGGCGCGGTTTCTTGTGGTCAATGGGATTTTCCGTAAGTACCTACAAGTTATACACATATGGCCGTGCCTAAAAACTAAATACTGAATAAA